AGCTGTATCACAGAAGTGAGACATGTATCAGGTATATGTATAATCATATTTATGTGTTGTTTTTATGTACTGTAATTGTTTCTGGTAAGTCTTAGGGAATAGTACTTTCTTATTTACAGTAGTAATGCATTTAAATGACCTCAAATGGTAATTATAGATTGAAATTCAATATACAATGACGCTGGGCACTGTCTGTCTTTCAGATTTTTATTTGTTATAATGATTCATTATTCAAAACAACATCATTGCCTGCAAACATATACAGTAGTCCTAATACATAAAACCTACCGTATGTAAACATGGAGTGTACCTTCCAGTGTCAAAGCTACCACAGTGTTGGTCTGATGTTGTCAGTAAGTCTTTCATTTGCATCCTCTTGTGGAATCTAAGCAATGGCGTGTCACAGAGTGAGCCGCTGTATAGTGGAAGGTTAAGTGTTGTTTCTGAGGTTCACCGAATGTGATGCTGGAGCACCTGCGAAATTGTCCAGAAGCAGTTAACTACCGGACAGAAATGTCAGGTAGCCACTCAGGCTTTAGTACTATTAAATAAATTGCTTTACATTGAGTTCCTGAGTTTTTTGTTCACTTAAATGACATACTATTTTACCGACTGACCTGAACGTACTTTGAGTCTCTAGTGGATGAGCGAGGCACAAAAAGGGGACATTATCTGTGACACCAGTGCACAGGCTCTTACTTTGCAGTACCAAGTACCAAGAAGTATATTTAATAAAATGTTAACTTGATGGTTTTAGATTTTTTAAATAATAATGAATATTTTTTTGGAAAAGTGGGAAACTAATTTGTGAGTGCTCTTTTTGTTCAAATATGTTTGTTCTAATTAGTGGATTAATTGCAAAAATCCAAATAGAAAACATTACATTGCTGGTGATGCTTGACAAAAGCAAAATGCAACATAATAGTGGTGCAGCAATTTATTTAGATTTCTGATTTGCATAACGAAGCCAAACTGTACACAATAGTTTCAAAAGTTAAAAATTGAATTATATATATATATATATATATATATATATATATAGTATATAAGAAGTGTCTTTGAAGAAACAGAAAACGTCTGTCCAGTTAGCTTTGCAAACCATGCAAGGGGGACAAACCATGCTACTATGCTGCTTTTATGCATATTAATATGGTCCCTCGATGTCAAATTGAAATGTTAGTATCATGCTTGGATTTACAGTAAGGTACTGTAATGAATGTTAATTAAATATATATATATGCGTGTGATAAGATATATTATGACATAAGATATACTGTATATGCTAAGACTGTATGTAGAACAACCTCATTGTCAACTTTATTACTGTAATCGTAATGTGAGTGACAAATATTTAAAATCGCAAGCACTAATAAGACTAATTTGACTGCACTTTTCTTCGCAGTGGTCACTGAAAAGAGCCGGAGTCCTTGCAGAGACTTGCTCCAAATTCAATGCTTTCTTTATAATGATAGTGGTTGATACAAACTGGTGGACTCGGGGGGAGCAGACGGGGAGAAGGTGTGCAAGATTGACAAATTGTTCCTGCAGCAGCACAGTGGTTTGACGTAGACACTGTATGTAATTGACAGTTTAAACATGGCAAAAGAATGCACCAGAGGGGCATCAAAGACGAACAGCATGTCACTCAGACTTTCTTTAAAAGACCAGCCCTGATAAATACACAACATACAGTAAGTGTGAATGTGAGTTACAAACACCTACTTAACAGCGCCTCATGTGGTAGCATGACCCACTGTAATTTTCCCCATTGTGGGACAAATAAGGGATTATTATTAGTAGTAGTAGTAATATTAATAATAATAATGATAACAGCCTGTCAGAAAATCACATTTATTTTATATTACAGATTATGTCAAAGAATAATCCAGTTTCAAGGTAAAGGCTTCTACCTGCTGTTTACTCAACTAATGCTGTCGCAAAGACGAGTGGTGGGCTGCTGTCCTTGCAGCACCTTATATACAGTACACATTCATATATATATACAGAGTATATATATAAATAGCAGTAATTTTAATTGGTGAACGAGAGAAGAGAGATTATAATAGCGGAAGAAATAATCGTAAACTGTGTGTGTCTTTTATGTGTGATTTGTGAAGCAACACTGATGAGAAATTACAGCTGTCTAATTAAAGCCACCCGTTTCTACGAAAAATGGCCAAAGGATGTGTCTACAAAGGTGTTCCAGAATGACACAGCAGGAACTGCATGTAATTAAAAGTGAATTCTTTGTGAAGGACTATGAACACTCTTTAATTAAAAACATGGATCAGAAATAAGCCGTGAGGTAAAAAGGCTTTTGGTCGCAGACCTTTAGCCTGATCCATTCATACCATTGACAGAGTTTGTCATTCACAGATGATGATTCACACTTGAAATCAGGGTCATCTGGGTGGAAGTAAGAAGAACCAGAGAAGATAAAGAGAAGGTGTATCCAGATCTATGCAATCAGCTGAGATCTTCTTAACTTTTTATGAAAGACGTGAAAGAAGTATTGTGGGGCTGTTCACGTCATCAGTTCAAAAACAGCATGAAATGCATGGACCCCCATTTTGTGAAGACCAGTGGTTCTCAAACCTTTGACATTACCCTCATATAAACCCTTAAAATACCCCCTTCTCCTCCCAAAGTCCAGCAGTAAAGACACACTGAGACTCAACTGAGGACAGTGTACAAAGAGGAGACTCTATTCCTAATAAGATTATTGGCCTATTTATTAGCCAGCCAGCTCTGTAAATCATTTTGAACTACACACTCAGGTCATAAAAAGTGGTCCACTGGTCCACTGTGGTGCACTGTGTTCTCTGCAGTGCTGCTTGTAACATTTATATTTTATCTCTGATTCCCATTGCAATTTCCAGTTTGGAGCTATAGCTGTAGTGTTTCGCTGCCTTCATTTCATAAACCTGGTCTATTTGGGCATCAGAGTTTAACGTCTCATTCTCCCACTATAGATGTTTATGTTCAATGTGATGACATATTCAATAGAACAGTAGTGGAAAAGGAAGGCTGTATCTGATTGACACCTAGAACAAAATGAAAGACAATTTAAAATGGCTGTGGTCACACGGTAACTTTATTGTGAGTGTTTCTGATATGACAGCAAACAGAAGTGCAAATACGTTTACCAATGAACGCTCACAGCATTTTCTGCTTGTTTAAAGAAAATATTAGCACTGACATATGTATTGTACATCCTATTTTTGTTGTTGTTTGTGGGTAAAATTTGCTGCTAGCAGAGTTTAATTTAGTATATATGTCTGTCAATATACAAAAAGCAAAACAGCAACTTTATCTTCACTACAATTGTTCTTTAGTTAATAAAAGAGTAAAAACGCATAAATTCAAAACATGATTTACAGTTTACTTATTAATAGCACTTCTCTTGTTGTCTATACATGCTATTCATAGCTCAGTTGTATGAAAGTGTTTACATAACTATTGCTTTAAATGGGAACAAGTTATGTTCGCCACCACTCTATTAACATCATAAAGCCAATACCATCTCTGGTGACTGTATGCAATTAAATTACTATTGTTACGTTGTCTTGATTTCTTTTCTTTCTTTTCTTTTTTGGCGCATTTCTGTGCGCATCCCAGTCACTGCTTTAGATTTCAAAGAATATCTGTGCTCTTTTTCTAACAAGCACTTCATATTATTAATCAACATTTTAGGTTCAACATTTCAATTTCCACTTTATTTTCTAGAATCATGTTATCAAGTTGTTTTCAAATATATGGCATGTTAACACTTAATATGATAAGAACTGCATAAAAATGGCTACAATAAACGGTCCCGCATATCGGTCGTTGCTCGTGGCTTGTTAAAGCTGCAGCACCATCTGCTGGTGAATTTAAAAAGAAATAGTGCAACCTTAGCATTTCTAATCCCAATAACTTGTTGTTGTTGTTATTACATTGTTTTCACAATCCCATCATCTTTTTTGATTTACTAATTTTATATGACAATATTATATAATGCATTTAAATGTCGTCTGCAGTTTTATTTTAAATAAACAAAATAAGAACATTTGGTTTCCAATGACAAGTTTCAAACTATATTAATTTTGAGACATTAGAAATTCAAACATTTCATGTAAATCATAATTTAAACATTATTATAATCTGAGCGTTACCAGTTATTTGCCACTTCCTGGTCATTATTATTATTATTATCCATACCAACCGTACCAAGCCCCCAAAACCTTCCTGCGGGTGGTGAGTCCACTTGAAGGTACCAACCGCCCTAACCGGGATTCTAACTTGCCCAGGAGGTGAACCCTGGGGTTCCACACCAATGACAGAGACATTGCCTCTGGGCCAAAGTGCCACATATTATTATCATCATCATTATCATTATTATTTTTATTATATTATTATTTAAATGTTATCCGGTTTGTTAGATTATGTATTATTTTCAGAACGGACAAATGAAAGCCTGAATCAATTAGTGCTTCCTCTGGGGGACACTGAAATCTACCCCCTGAGATGTGTTTGTGTAATTCAGCCTGTAGAGGACGCTTACGATCATCGTCTCACCCTTTAGATGTGACATTCACTTCATAAAGGTCACCTTTATTGGGTGGCTTCTTTTCGTTGCATTAACGTTATGTAATGCTCACTTGAAATGTGCCCATCACCTGTCAAAAAAGTACCAAAAGGTCGTGTCGATGTGAAATACACAGCACCATCTTATCACAGGCTTCCCGCAACACTTTATTTACATTTTCGTTTATTGAAAAACTATGTTTAAAAAAACATAAAAAAAAACGTAGCAGATTAGTTGGCGTGGTGATTTGGCACGGTTTTTACGTCGGATGTTATGTGACGCAACCCTACCCAGAAAAATACAAAAATATGATTGAAATAATAATACTTTTCGGGTTTGTCGCGGTTCTTATTTCTAACTTGTTACGTGTCCGTAGATGTTGCCAGATAAGTTTATAACTGTTTCGACTGGACTTTGCCAATACATGTCACTGCGCGATGACGCGTGAGACAGACGCGCGCCATATAAAAGCCTAGTTTCTGACGTCAGCGGCCTCTTCCCTGCCTCAACCATCGAGTTGTGGGCAGTGTTAAAAATCCTGTCTGCTTTTCTCACCTAGAGAATCCAAAACCATCCGTCACAATGGTAAGTTAATATGATAAAAACAGTTAATAAAACAGTCGGCGTTTAACAGTTGTATTTTTGTTAAAAGTCAATGTTTTTGTTTATACATTTTGCGGATACTACGCTACTGACACGTATGTGCTTGCAGTTGTCTTTGATCAAAATGGCAACCATTTTGTCGCCCAACGCCCAGAGAGCTTCTGTGATTCCCAATAGATTCTCCGTTTACTCATCCATGTTCATATTAAATTAAATAGCGCCGAAGGGCATGTTGCGCCGTTGCGATGAGGAAAGGAGTTTTAACTCCCCAATCCATCGGGACACTTTTGTGCTACGTTGTTGTTTTAATCCCGGCGTTCAGGGCCTTTCCTTCCGCGGCCACAAAACCTTGAAACTACATATATACTAATACACAGATATTAAATTATTAAATGTAAGTTGAAAACGGTGTATCTCGGTATTAACGTCAAAGAATGTTAAAATTACTATTCTAAACCCTTAATATGTTTTTAAAATGTGCCGGTAATCAGCGCAAGCCGGCACAGGATGCAACACTAGCTGTCAAAGTAGTGCTACCACCTAGCATGGTTTCCAGCGTGTACACGTGGCCTGTTGCAGGTATTTCAAACTGGATTTTGTCAGACGGTTTCGCTTTATTAACGTGAACAAAAACATTTTTATGTAACATTCTTTTTAAAAAATCCATTGAATTCATTCAACGGGTGGTCAAGGGGAGTTCATTTGATTTGAACGTCGACTCTAACGTCGCAGTTGAGATGGCGGACACCGGTTACACGGTTAAAGGTAAAGAGAAACGTGATGTGACGTCTCCGATGTCAGATTTGTTGCTCTCCATAAGTCTGAGTTGTGTACAGTATATTTAGTTTCTAATAAGAAACACCGAAGACCAATCTCCATGATATTTTCTGCATTTTCGTCATGTCTAATTTGGGCTGCATATGTCTTTTCAGGTGAACTTTACCGTAGACCAGATCCGTACCATCATGGACAAAAAGGCAAACATCCGTAATATGTCTGTGATTGCGCACGTCGATCATGGAAAGTCTACCCTGACAGACTCTCTGGTGTCAAAGGCTGGAATTATTGCCTCATCTCGTGCTGGTGAGACCCGTTTCACAGACACCCGCAAGGACGAACAGGAACGTTGCATTACCATCAAGTCTACGTAAGCATTGAGCCATTTAATAGTCGTTTTGCAATGTATTCGTGTCATTACATTACAGGCAGACAGTTGTAGACAATAGGTGATAAAGACAAGGTGCCGATTCTCAAGTGTGACAGAATCTGATTTAAGAAAATTGGTATTCATTATGAGAGGTCACGTTGCATCAATTTTATCCACATCAAGTTGGTAGCATAGATTTTTTTTATATATAATTTAATGTGCTACAGTGTAATTCTACATTCTGATTTAAAATATTTTCTCAAATTGTTTTTTTTTTTTTGCAGAGCAATTTCCCTGTACTATGAGCTGACTGAAAATGATCAGGCCTTCATTAAGCAAGGCAGGGATGGCGCTGGCTTTTTGATCAACTTGATTGATTCACCAGGACACGTTGACTTCTCATCTGAGGTGACTGCTGCTCTCAGAGTGACTGATGGAGCCTTGGTGGTTGTGGACTGTGTGTCTGGTAAGGTTGAGTTTTTTAGCAATTTCTTTGAATTAAGAATGTGTTGTCAGTTGTACAAGTTTACAATTAATTACAAGCAATGTTTTTTTTTTTTTGTTTTTTTTTATTCCCGTTTCCAATAGGTGTTTGTGTACAAACGGAGACCGTCCTCCGTCAGGCAATTTGCGAGCGTATCAAGCCAGTCCTGATGATGAACAAAATGGATCGTGCCTTGTTGGAGTTGCAGATCCAGCCTGAGGACCTTTACCAAACCTTTCAGCGCATTATTGAGAACATCAATGTCATCATTTGCACATATGAAGAACAAGATTCCCCTATGGGTTCTATCATGGTGAGTTCTCTATGTAGCCACCTATTGTCTACTAGTAACATTTATAAGTATATTCCATATCATGTGATTAGTTGAAAATTTCTTACTCATGCATTTCATTTTTTTTTTTTTTTAAACTTGTTTTTTAAAAAATATGTATTTGTTACTTCACTAGGTTGATCCAATTTGTGGTACTGTTGGCTTTGGTTCTGGTCTCCATGGCTGGGCTTTCACACTCAAACAATTTGCAGAGTTGTATGCAGCAAAGTTTGCTGCAAAAGGACAAGTCAAGTTGACACCTGCTGCACACTGCAAGAAAGTGGAAAGTGTAATGAAGAAAATGTGGGGTGATATGTAAGTTATACACAAACATGGAAATAAGTGATTTTACATTTCTGTACTTAACCTGATAGCAACATGAGCTAAAAGTACGCAAACTTTTTTTTTTTTTCTTTCCCACATTCTCATAGGTTCTATGATGCAGATACTGGAAAGTTCCTGAAGAATTGTGAGGGAGCTGGTGGCAAAATGTTGCCTCGCTCATTTGTTGCTCTTATCCTGGATCCCATCTACAAGGTAACACAATAGGTTAGGAATACTTGGAGTAAAATATTTTGGGTATTTGCAACATTTGTATATATTATGTAAAATATTGTTGCTTTGCATCCCTGCAAATGATGATTTAATACTTCTTCACTTTGACCTGATTCACTAGTGATGAGTACTTTCAATCTGAGTGTATTACAGAGTGGTATTTTTGAATGTGTTGGCTTAGCTTTCATATTAAATTGCATTTTTGTATCCCTTTAGGTCTTCACTGCTATCATGAATTTCGATAAGGAGGAAACTGACAAACTGATCAAGAAACTTGAAATCAAGCTGGATTCTGAGGACAAAGAAAAGGAAGGAAAGCCTCTCCTCAAGGCTGTCATGCGTCGCTGGTTGCCTGCTGGAGAGGCCCTTCTCCAAATGATTGCCATCCACCTGCCCTCTCCAGTCACTGCCCAGAAGTACCGTTGTGAGATGATCTATGAAGGACCTCCAGATGATGAGGCCGCACTGGGTAATTTGTTATTGCACTTGTTGATATTGTTGAAAATAGAGCGTCTATTGCAAAGCCCAAGCTAAAAAATTTCACTGACATTGTTCTAGGTATCAAGAACTGTGACCCCAAAGGTCCACTGATGATGTACATCTCCAAGATGGTACCCACCAATGATAAGGGTCGCTTTTATGCGTTTGGTCGTGTGTTCTCCGGCATTGTTTCCACTGGCTTGAAAGTGCGCATCATGGGACCAAACTATGTGCCTGGTAAAAAAGAGGACTTGTACATGAAACCTATTCAGAGGTTAGTTGTGTTAGAAGAGGTATTTTAAGTGGCTTAAAAGTGGGTTAAAATTTAAGTAATTCCTTTAACTTGTTTTTGTTTTTCCTTTTCTAGGACTGTTCTGATGATGGGACGTTACACTGAGGCCATTGAAGATGTGCCCTGTGGTAACATTGTGGGTCTGGTTGGTGTGGACCAGTACCTTGTCAAGACCGGCACAATCACCACCTTTGAGCAGGCTCACAACATGAAAGTGATGAAGTTCAGTGTTAGCCCTGTGGTGAGAATTGCTGTGGAGGCCAAGAACCCTGCTGACCTACCCAAACTGGTTGAGGGTCTGAAGCGTCTGTCCAAGTCAGATCCCATGGTGCAGTGTATCATCGAGGAGTCTGGTGAACATATCATTGCTGGAGCTGGAGAGCTGCATCTGGAAATCTGTTTAAAAGATCTAGAAGAAGACCATGCTGGCATTCCAATTACTGTTAGTTTTTGCTTAAACAAATTTTGGTTTTATTTATTAACCAAAGACCTTTTATCTAAAATTTCTGGGGTTTTGTTTTTTTCTCTTAGAAATCTGACCCAGTGGTTTCCTACAGGGAAACAGTTTCAGCAGACTCGAGCGTTATGTGTCTGTCAAAGTCTCCCAACAAGCACAATCGTCTGTTCATGAGGGCTCGTCCATTTGATGAGGGCCTGGCAGAAGACATTGAAAAGGGTGAGGTTGTTCCTCGTCAAGACCTGAAGACCCGTGCTCGTTACCTGGCTGACAAATACGATTGGGATGTTGGTGAGGCCCGAAAGATCTGGTGCTTTGGCCCTGATGGCACTGGCCCCAACTTATTGGTAGATGTTACCAAGGGAGTGCAGTACCTTAATGAAATCAAGGACAGCGTTGTTGCTGGCTTCCAATGGGCAGCAAAGGAGGTAATTACTTTTTTGTGTGGAATACATGTGGCTTATGAAGAGTTATGAAAAATTGACCTTTACTTTTATGCATTCAGGGTGTTCTTTGTGAGGAAAACATGCGTGCCATTCGCTTCGACATCCATGATGTGGCCTTGCATACCGATGCTATTCATCGTGGTGGTGGTCAGATTATTCCCACAGCCCGCAGAGTTCTTTATGCTTGTGAGCTCACAGCTGAGCCCAAACTCATGGAGCCTGTGTATTTGGTGGAAATCCAGGTAAAGCCATTGGCTGTTACTTAGATGTAGTTGTTTTGTTAGCTTGGAGTAGTGTGTTTTTTGATTTTGATTTTTAAATATATACTTTTATAGCGGTTCTTGAAATATTGTAACAAAAAAAACCATTGGTTTCTAATCTGCAATCTCTACTCTAGGTTCCACAATGTGCAATGGGTGGTATCTATGGTGTGTTGACCAGGAGACGTGGTCATGTCATTGATGAGTTCCAGGTTCCGGGTACACCCATGCAAATCATCAAGGCCCATTTGCCTGTCATGGAGTCTTTTGGTATGTCCTAAAGGAAAAGCAAACAAGCTTCTCCTAAAGTTAATTTCCATAAATTGGCAAACTAATATTTTACTTTGATTTGATAAATTTGATTTCTGGCTGATTATTGACAGGTGGCTCTTTCTCTTAATACTTTAAAATACTAGATAAAGTCTTACAAAATCTTTTAACTAATTTCGCTACAAGCAAAACTGATTTCTTACATATACTAACTATAGTTAACTTGATAGTGGTGTTACCAAGAGTATATTTTGTCTGTCTACCCTACCCCAAGTTGACGGCATGTGTTGTCAGTCTGGAAACATTCTTACAACCTTCTAGTTATGAAACCATTGCACCTTCCTCTGAGCTATGTCCACCCCATAAAGCTGAAGCATTTGATGACGAGGGCAGTGGTTCTTAACCTTGGTTCGATCGAACCCTAGGGGTTCGACGGAGGGCAAGACACATACTCGACTTGTATGATTTGTGATGACACACACCCCTGCTTGGCCCATCACCAATGGGGTTAGGGTTAAGAACCAGTGCTCTAGGGTCTGGGAATCGCTTTACAACATTTGGGCCCTTCTTGTAGTGCAATATAGGGTTGCTGTTTTTAGTACTCAAAGCGAGCAGCTCGTCTTTTTATAGATTGGGTATGACTTTCTTTTTCCTTACAATTGCAGGTTTCACAGCTGACCTCCGTTCTGCAACCAGTGGCCAAGCCTTCCCACAGTGCGTGTTTGACCACTGGCAGGTCCTCCCTGGAAACCCAATGGAGTTGACATCAAAGCCTGGCATAGTTGTTACCGATACACGCAAACGTAAGGGGCTCAAAGAAGGAATCCCAGCATTGGACAACTACCTGGACAAATTATAAAAGCCTTGAATCATGTTCGATCCCATTCCTCCTTTCACACCAAGGTTACAGCTACACCATGGGACTGTACAGAACAAAGTAACGATGTTTGCCAAAAGGGTTAACCATAACTAATAAATGACTACAAAAATTGTAAACGAATTAAAATAAAGAAAATAAAAACTTTGTTTGACTTTTTATTTTACTGCTTAAATACTATTTAGTTAAGTAAAGATATTATTGAATTTGGAGAATGTGTAAAACATGATTCTTATGGAACACTAGTTCTGCAAAATCTAATTTGATCCCCTTTTTGTAATTAAAAGTGTTTGGTTTAATTTTTACTGGTATTCATTCAAATATGGTTACGCCTTGGATTTTACGTGTTGACTTTATGGAACAGTCACCATTGTTTGTCAACTTATTAGTAACGAACTAATTTACAAGTGGAATGTTATTTTCACATTTATAAAAGTTTGAAAATGCATTTTTACCTAAATGTATCTATATATATATATATATATATATGTGTGTGTGAATTATGCGAACATGGTCCAATGTTACAATGTTCCAGTATATAATGATTCAATTACTTTAAGTCTTGAATACTGCTCAAATTTCTTTGACAAATATTCATAGTTTTATTTCCTGGGTTACTTGTGGTTAAAATGTGACGAACAGTAAGACAATGTTTTCTTAACACCCAGCGATGATTACAGTATTTCGGTTTAGTTTTAAAAAGGCTTCTGCCACAATTTAGACATAAGTCATCTTATCGTAACATTGAAGCCCATCGTTCCTGGGAAACAATGTCGTGGTTATCGTAGGTAGGCATAAACCCCTGAATTGTAATAAACGCCATTGCTCGTAATCCATAATGGGTTTTATTTATATACCCACCGTTCAGTGGCTCCAGATTCACTAATATACCGCCAGGAAAACCCTTTGTAGTTCCATGGTCATTTGTATGTTGTACTAGACGCTTGTTCCTAAATCTAACAGAAACGTGGATTCAGCATGTTTCCATTCTCTCTTCAGTCCACGTGTACATAAACAGAACAATAGACGCCGCGCGCCATTATAACAGGAACATTCGACCGTGTCCCCTTTTCGCATGAATAGCGGTCAATGCTAAGTGGTAGATAATAAAGCACGATGCGTTACTATTCTTAAATCACTCTAACTAAGGTACTTTGTACTAGCCAATAAGAGACACGGTGGGTCATTTATGCCTTCGCCACTGGGCTGCCACGACACAAACAAGAATTTTTTGTTAGTGGACATATAAAGTACAGAGAGGAGCAAGCCTTAATGGGTAACTACGCTTTCTTAACAAGAAAACACAAATTGCGGCTACCGACATTCAACAGCAAAGTCATACACTTGCATATGTGCTAGAGGCCGTTGGCTCTTGTATGGAGGCCGAGTTATTGTACAAGCCAATCACGAGTCGCCGCTTCGACCAATCAGATGACATGCAGTTCTCACTTCCTGTTTCAACAAGGAATTCATTATCGGGTGAGTAAAATATAACGTTAATCTTTAAAGTGTAAATAAAAGCTGAAAATCGCAACATTCCCAACTACCTGGACATAAACGTTATCGCAACTATTATCTTATCATGTACCTGTTTTTGTTTTGGTGCGTGAGTTAGTATTTTAAATTACTATTGGGTCCGTTGTATGTTTGTTTGTGTAACCAGTGTAATCGGTTAGCCTTGCGGAGCAGCTAGCAGTCAGGATAGCCTGGATCACGACGTCATTGCTTGGATGTTATAATAAACTTCACGATGTATAATTTTGTTCCCAATTGATCGAATGTTTCTCCAGACATCCGCCTTTTTACGAGTGGACATTAAAGGTTAAAGAACTAGTTTTCATTCGTCAATTAACCGCTGAGAGGAAGATCATGGGGGGAATCAAACAAGAACAGGGTGATGCACCCCAACAACCTAGAGCCTCAAACTCAGTCGATCCTCCACAAGAAGAGGTGAGTTCCTCTTTGTATGTTTGTTTGTTTTGGTTTGTTTTGGTTTGTTTCTATTTATTATGATAGAGTTGCTTAGACTTCCAATAAGGAGACATACATTCATTTTACATTTCTGTATTTAAAATAATTATATTTATAGTTCTTTTTAAGCAATTATTGAACATTTCTTGCAGACGGCACTTACTGTACCATGATTCAAGTCCACTAGTGCACAAACATTGTCCTATAAATTTAATCAGATGATGCAAGAATCATCCCATGAATGAAGAATCAACATGTCTAATTGTTAATGTTTACACATTTTATTTCACCCTTATTAGCCAAAGAAAAGGGGCTGGCCAAAGGGAAAGAAAAGAAAGAAGGTGCTACCAAATGGTCCAAAGGCACCAGTAACAGGATATGTCCGCTTTTTGAATGAACGGCGAGAACTTATGCGGGCCACATATCCTGACCTCCCTTTTCCAGAAATCACCAAAAGGCTTGGAGCAGAGTGGACACGATTAGCCCCAAATGACAAACAGGTAATATTGACAACAAGCAAAAAGAGTTCATTTTAGGATACTTTCGTTCTTTCATTTCTTAACATTTGGCTTTGAGACACAAAGTAAAATGATTTCTCTGGGCAAATTCTATTTTCATGATGTAGTGTTTAAAATGTTAGTGTTTTTTTAAAAGTGAAAAGACTGCTTTTCAACTGGATAAAAAAAAAATCAAAAATAAATCTGTGTACGGACAGCGTTATTTGGATGAGGCAGAGCGTGAGAAAATGCAGTATGCACAAGAACTCAAGGAATATCAGCAGACTGAGGCCTATCAACTCACAAGCGCAAAAATACAAGACAAAAGGATCAAAAAAGGTAACCTCCGCCTTCTATTATATATATATTATATATATTATATATATATATTATATGTTTTGTACTCATCCTTTGTACGTTGCAATAAATGTTGATTATTGCCTTTAGAAAATGACTTTTGTTATAACAAAAGAACAAAGTGAGTGAGGTCATTTTGGTTCGGCACCTAATTTGCCTTGTCTTGTTTTTTCCTGTTTCTCTGACAGAAGACACCTCATCTGTAATTGTTAGCACCAATGCTGGGTCATCTTTGCCCAAGGTATACTTTCATATCGAGATAAAATGTTAGATA